CTATATCACGACTATTTTACTTCAACATGCTGTTGAGCTTGAACTCAGCCTGCCTGCCGCTTTGTAAAACACACTGTAGGGGGGTGGGGGGGGGGGTGGGGGTGTTGTTTGGGGTTTTTTTCAGTGTTGCGACACGCACAGGGTAAAATACTTTCAAGAACAACCTTCAACAATTTTTCCATCATTTAGTCTGGTTCCTTTGTTAACAATCTCAACAATTTTCTTAGGGGCATTTTCACAGCCATCTGTGTCATTTTAATTTCATTTAAGCCACAATAGTGAAGTGCAAACAAAAAAAAGTGTGAAAAATAGCCTATTTCTATAAACCATCATGCATTATCGCCAGTGTTACATGGGTGCGTAAGCATTGAGGAAAGACACTGCGTCCTTCTGTCATAATCACAGATCTACCCCATTTAGTCTCAGCCCAGACCCCATATATCCTTTTTTTAAAAATCCTGTGTCCTAATTTGGTGCTGAATATTGATATGTTATTGTTCAGAATATCAAAAAGAGACACTAGGTTTTTAGGGTTTTAACAAATAATTATATACTTGGCGATTTACACTGATGATGATGATGATGATGATGATGATGATGATGATGATGATGATGATGATGATGATGATGATGATGATGACGACGATGAAATGATGATGATGATGATGATGATGATGATGATGATGATGATGATGATGGTGACGATTGAATATTGAGGATTATGATATGGATTAATCTGGGTGTTACTTTAGTTCTTTGTTTTGTGCCTATGCAAGATCCCCTTAGGCTGTCCTGAGAGGCACGACACAATCCTTCCCAACTCATCCAATCGAATGACCAAAATTTGGAAATAAATTGTCATCTGAATCCCAAACATTAGATAGATGTGTGCCAAAACATCACATCAGGGCTACTTCTAGGTGATGATTTTATTATTGTTCGTATATCCTTCCAATTATTTCATATGCAAGTCTTTTACTGTAATACCTGCACATGTTTTTATAATACAAGCATATGAGCCTATTCTTCTTACAGTATTTTTCTTTATCCATCAGCAAATACCCTTCTCCCTCCGAGACCTAACATAGACAACACACTCTATGGAACATTACAGCAACTGCAGCAGACCTGCACTTATCACTACATGGCATTGGACAGAAGGGCGAGAGCCCAGCTGTTGCTGGATCGATAACAACAACAACAACAACAACATCCATCAGCAAAGAGTAAATACACTTGTCACTGTAAGTTGTGCTCTTTTTTTATGGGGAAATCAAAGCTAATAAAACAATTAGGACCAAAATAAAAACTTTCTAATAAATATAACGCATTATTTTCACCTGCCCACGCCTTAATCAAACATTTCTAATAACAACAATAACTTCAGTGAGTTTGGAGTCTGGTACATATTTAAAGTCGCCATAAACACAGCAGGATTATTCAAGAGACAACGCCTCAAACTTAGCATCTGACTCTCAAACAGCAAAACATCACAAAAGGTGTTGAGAACCAGATGTCTATTGGGCATTTAGAAAAATGGCAAAATAAAAAAGCTTGGTTTCTTACGTTCGTAAAGTTTCGAGTTCATTTTTGTACATCACAACTTGTTCCTTCAGCGTTTTGTAGTCAGACATCTGAAAAGACAAAACAAAATGGCTGACATGCAATTACTGAAAAAAAATTTTATTGTGGAAATCTCAATCTGAACTACAAAATACACTGTATGCATTTTATGATTTATCATTAATACGCCCCAACAAACCTTTTCTTCATTACAAATCATTCTCAGCACTTTGGGAAAATTCGGTGTAAGCTGCCATTTTACAAGTGCTCAAACACTAACATACTGACAATTTCTTTCACTTTTTTCTCAGCTGGGTCAAGCAAGAAACATCTGTGCAATCTGTTTTTCGCAGGGACACAGCATCAAGCCCAGATTTAGAGTTCAAACCCTGTCGTATGTACGGCAGCCTTACCATTGGACTATTGACACCACAATATAAAACTTTCATGCACTCTAAATCATTTCAATACATTTTCAACTGGAATTATACACAGCAATGCAACATCAAGCAGCTCAGGCTTTGCTTTTACTAATCATCCCAAGGCACTTGCAACACAAATTGGTCATATATGTGCCGAAGACTAGAAGTATTTCTAAAGAGTAACAAACAAAGAAAAGAAGGAGGAGAGACAAGGACGATCAATGTTTTATAGGAATGAAGGAGTAAACCACACCCAAGCACCCGCCAACCACCCGCCAGTTAGGACAGGCTCCACAAAAAAGCTCATGGTCTGTGCAACCCCTAATCCTCACCCTCAAACTGACTCCCCATAACCGATCTCAACTTTTACTGCCCATATCTAGGCTTTAACTTCACTCAACACATCTAAAAGCAATCCTGCCGTAAGCTGACAAAACGCCCTTTGTTTATTCACAGCAGTTTCAAGAAAAAAAGGCTTTTTGTCAGCGTAACCACTGAAAAATAGTGCTTCCGAAATTTGAATTCTAGCTTATTCAAAAACTAGTCACAGTTTCACTTTGATTTTTTCATACAAGTAGAGTAACTGATCAGGCTTTCAATTTAGCAAATAAAATTTTTGGCGCCAAAATGAAAAAAAGGCGCTTTGTCAGCTTATGGCAGAATAGTACCTTGAGGTAGCCATGTTACGGGGAGGTTTGCAATACACAACAACCCGATGAAGTTTTCACTTTTGTCTAAGCTACATAAAAATAAGGAATGACATGAAAGCGAAGTAAGGGCTTTCTTTCCACTTACATCCCTGAGCTTGGCATTGAGGTACTCATTGTTCTTGTTGGCATTGACTTCGCTATACTTGGACTCCGACAACAGGGTCTGCAGAACAAAATCAAAATGAATAAAAATAATAAATTTTAAAAAATAAAATAAAATTCCATTTCATTTACCTCCCTGGGGTAACTTGGTTTAATTTGGAATACACCCATTAATACATAGTACAATATTTTATCCATTCTATATAACAATATCACACTGATACAGACAATCAAGACACCATTGCTCTGTTTTTTAGCATGGGTTATCTTGTCTCATGAGAGAACAGACACCCAATGACCATCCACCTAAAAGTCTAGTCACCATCATTTACTTTACTTGACATTATTATGAGTCTAAGCTCACTAATCACTTGGCCACTGGAGACAATACAGAACACAGATCTAAAGGAAAACATCAAAACAGTGAACTCACTTATTTGCTCACTAAGCTGACAACCACTAAAGGAGCCCGATCAAAAGATACAATTGATAAGTACAAGGTATTTATTCCAAGCACAAATTTTAGATATGACAACTTTCAACCGATTCTCATAGAACACCACTGAGAGCAACAACTGACCTCTAATTCATTGACCCTGTGAGTTTTGTCTCTCAACTCATCTTTCACAAGTTGCAAGCGAGACTTGTCTTCAGACACAATTCTCTCTTCCTCTGAAAAAAAAAAAAAGAATTTAAAAAAAAAAGAATCAATGGATAATTCCTAACTTATCTGACAACAAGAAACAATATAATAAAAGTATCAAGGGCATTTCAAATGTTACATCAGCTAAATGAGATTAAGCTTTTATCCCATGAGTTCTAGATTTAAATATGAAAGGAAAAAAAAACTGTTCTCTTCCTTTCCAGAAAAGTTTCTTTGAGTTTTCAGTTTGAGTTTCATGAAAGAGAAGCACATTGACACAGCAACTGTCATTTTGCACAGGGAAGAAGCAAAACATGCAGACACAAACAAAAGTGGAAAGAAAAAGAGGTAAGACCTACCAGCGGCACTCTCCAACCACTCTTGAAAAGTTCATTCTTAATCCACGGACATGACAAAATACGGTAAGCCTTACCTTGGAAATAACCTGTTTTAAATTCAAAGGGGCAAAAAGTTTCCAGAAAAAAAAACCCAAAGGCGAATACACATGAGGAAACCAATAACTCCATACACACAAATAAAGAAAAACATACTCACCTTTGACCTTGGCTTCTCGGACTTCTACATTCTGTATTCTCTCAATATATCTCGCTTGTTGATCTAGCTTGAACCTATATAAACAATAAGAAAGAGACATATGCCATTCTTCAGACACATTTGCCATCATCAAGATTATGAATATTTTGCCCCAACCGGGAAGATTAACGATAAAAGAGGTATCGTCAAGTCAGGAGCAACATTTTTAAAACTCTAAATTCTAGGGCAACTGGAAATTATCAGGATACTGAAATTTTCCAGAGGATGACCAAATATAGGACGAGTGGGGAGCCACAATCGACAAGTATCTGTTCCAGAACTGACACAACAGAGAGAGAAAGAAGGAAACATGGACCAAAGACCTGTCATTGGCCAATACATTAAGTAAAAAATTTATATTAAGAATTGATGACATTGAATGCTTTTTAGACTTCAAGGCTTGAGCATTCCAGGTCACTGAAACAATAAGATAATACCGATTACTTACTGAGCCATCTCGTTTTGCAGCCGCTGCTCAAATGCAGTTTCCTTCTGATTGATCTCAAGTTCTCTGCGTCTGAGGTCTCCTTCCTTATCTTTCACACGATCTTCCGAGACTTTCTTCTCTCTGTGGGTACCAGTTATAAACATCAATTTAAAGAAATAATAAAATGAAATAAAAATGCACTTTTACAGAACAGCAAGGGAAAATTTTTTCTTTAAGAGATCTTGTCTCTTTTGTGAAAACCAGTTATACACCAATTAACAGTAAATAAGAAAGACTGGGTCATTAAGCTTATCTTATAACTGTTCATAAGTTCTGCATAACTCATCAGAACATCAAAGCTGTCTGAGATCTGTCCCATGAATAAGTTTTCAGATGCAAACCAGTCCGTAGTGCAACTTTTTATGTTTCTCAGGGGAGTAAAAAAAGAAAAAGAGCAAGCAAAAAAAATGGGAAAAAAGAAGAAGAAAAAGAGAAACCAGGTGGGGAGTTCAAAAGTAAGTTGACTGAGCACCCTAAAGAAATCTGAGCTCTTTCCTTCATATACCAATAAGAAATAATAAAATGAAACACAAATGTACTTTTATAGAACACCAAGAAGAAAATTTTGTCTTTGGAGATTTTGGTGTCACACAAATGTCAAAGCCACTGACTAAAGGCTATTTATTTCAGAGTATTAATCAGTATCTACTCCAAGTTAAAAGAGAGTGAAATGAAGCAATTACGAGAAACATCAGATAACCATCAAACACCTCATATCTTCTTTGTCAATAAAAAAGCTCAACAATGTTTATTTACTCCATGAATGAATAACAATCATATGTTGAGGTAAGTTATGTGTTTATGTTTATTGTAAACCTTTTTTGGTCCTCAAGTCTCAGCCTTTGCCGTTTTTCTACTGCTACTCCTTGGCTCCTTCTTACTGCTGTCTGTCAGCCACACCCCTGACCTTATGGTAGGTAAGATCTAACACCTAGCTTTCTCGGATAAAGGTGGAGAATCTCGGAGGTCCCATGTGCAAGTTGCGCACATTAAAGGTCCCTTGATGGTTAAAAATCAATAACAGAAGGCTTCAACCATCATCCGGGCAAAATTCAAAATTTCTTACCAACTGAAAATATTTAATGTGTCCCGCGCGCTCACATGACCTTATTCAGTTGCGAGCACCATAAAACACTCACCAAAAAAAAGTCTTCGACTAATCTGTTGGTCATCATAACAACATAAACAAGGTAGCTACAATGCAAATAACTCTGTTGTTAAATATAGTGCAGTGTGGTCGGGGCATGAGATGACATCACTTCTCATCATTCAGGTTTGTAAGAATACTTAGCTACAGAACAGACCTTTTGATCTGATAATAATCAACTGCACACATATGTATTGACTGTTCATAAAGGAATATTTGCGAGGAAAAAAAACCCACTTTTAAAGCATAAAGAAACCAAGAACAGCACGGATTCATGATACCTTTTGTTCACCTCGGCTTCTCTCTTCACTTCGGCCTCCCTCTGTCTCACGGCTTCAATCTCCTCTAGGATGGACTGGCGCTGAGCATAAGTTTCTCTGTCTTGCAACTGTAACATATCGCACGAAAACTTACCTCATTTATCTTTTACAAGAATCACAGAATACATTACTCCATTTACTTTACCATTCTTCCCAAGACAAAAATAATCATAATGTAACCACAAAAATAATAAAGATAAAATAATGATGATGATGATAATGATAAAGATAATAATAATAATAATAACAATAACAACAACAATAATAATAACAACAACAACAACAACAACAACAACAACAATAATAATGATAATAGAATAATGATGATGATGATGATGATGATACATAATAACAATGAAAATGAAATGATAAGAATTAAAACCTCAATCACAACGAAGCTAGTAACCATTCTGATATGCTTATAATAATGATAAACAACTCATATTATATAGAGTACGTGAAATTGTCCCTTTTGCCATTAACAGAACAGTGTGTCATTACCTAAACAGACCCGAAAACAAATTAACATTCCAAAAGGCTTAGAGCTTCATGAGAAAATCAGATAAGCTGCCATCTTACAATCAGTCAAACACCAAAGTGCTGACAAAAGCTTTCATTGTCTTACCCGTTCTCACCTAAATGAACTGAGAGGAATTTGACAAAGGAGTCTTTCCCAAGAACGCAATGTTAGACCAGACGGGATATAAATCTAAGACCAAATAGTAACAAACACAACAGTCATTCCATTATTTTACCCAGGCCACAATTCAAAGCAAAACATTGCACTTTACTGCTGTACTGTAAGTTAGTGTTTTTTCTCTTCAACATTTTCTTCACTTAAATGACATAAAAGAATAACTCATTGCATAAATTAACATATATATCCACCCATAAATCAGTTCCAGTGTGCGTGTGCATGTGAGCGTGTGCGTGTGAGTGTGTGCGAGCGAGTGTGTGCGAGCGCGTGTGATAAAACACCAAACCAATGTGTCAGCATGTGGACAATAAAGATTATCTTTGTCCTATCTTATCTCATCTCATCTTAAACAGAAAAGGACAAAACAAAGGGAAACAAAAAATCCCTCCACTTACATCTGTCTGCTGTTGAAGTCTTTCCATTGCGTTCCTCTCTCGCTGCACCAATACATCATGCTTGTCTTTATAAACCCTTTCCAGCTGAAAAGAAATGTTCACATAACTACTTATTAGAACAAAACAAATTAGATTTACGAACTATCCAGGTGGCACATGCTATGCAAGAGGAAAACTATGTTTAGAACTCTTTCGTGCCATCATCCAACAGAAGCAAAACATATAAAAGAAAAATAGACAAAAGACGACTTTAAAATTTCAATTTTCCCCATTTTCTTGATTTTCTCATACTAGATATAACCCCTCTGAAAAATAACTAAGTCTATAGCTTGTACTGTTTGGCTTTAATTTACACCTAAGCCCTCGTGCTGTACTGAAATACAAAGATAAGTTTTCTGCATCTATTCCCAAACTTCATTGAAGCTCCAATAGCAGTGAAATAAACTGCTTTCCAATTCATTAAAAAAATATCGGCTTAATGTTGTTGCGTTTAGGATCAAAATGTATAATCCAAATAAGAAGTTGAGACTTCTTATTTTATTCAAGAAAATTCATTTCTGTACGTTTTCTAATTCGATTGAGAAGATAAAATTTGTAAAATATGCATATCTTTAATGTTTCAAGATCAAAAAGAAATGTAAATATAAATCAAATTTACATAATCTTTAATGTTACTAAATCAAAAGGAACTATAGATGTAAACACTACATATATATTTATCAAACAAAAAGCCATCCAAAAAATATCACAACTATGAAAAAAGGCCATACAAGAATAAAGTATCCACAATTTTTTTTTAACCTTCACTGAGCAACTCATTTTTCAAGATCATTTCAAATGTCGGTGGTTCGGACAAAAATAGACACATGGTGAACATTTACTAAACAGACTTATATACATGTTTCAAAAGAAATGTAAACTAAAATACAGAAATGTCTTATCTTTCCACTTTTCTTAAAACCTCATTTTCAAGTTTTGATTGTCAACAATGTCTGAACATAACATTCTGCACCTTTCCATCACTTGTCTCGGAGCCCAACACAGATTCAGTCAAAAATTGTCTAAGACAGCCTGCCATTGTTAAGGGGAAAAGTGGCCATGTTAGGTAAGTGGTTGTTTTACAGTGTCATTATAATGTAAAAAAAACACAAAGGAGGAAATGGAAAGTGGCTGCTTGTACAGGAGATTGTCTTGTAAAGGTGGATTTTAGAGCAGGCTCGATTGTACTGAAAAAACATTAGATACGAAAAAGACAAAAAATCCTGCACATTAGGGACGCCACGGTCTCATCAGCAAGTGAAAAAGAAATGTGGTCAGACCTCCAAAATAAAAGATTATTATTATCAAATCGACTGCTTAGTGTAAGACTCAACAACAAACCATTTGAAAAGTGACTTATAATGGAGTCTTCCACTGAACAAACAAAAGTACTTCAGCAAAAGCCTATCACCTCTCTTCTGGCTTGTTCCAAAGCCTTTCTGCCATTTTCCTTCTCCTCTGTTTTGATAGAAGCAATCTCTGCATCCCTCATCCTGGCAAGCTGCGAGAAAACAACAGAATGCTGTGAAATCAAAAACACTGCACAAAAATCCCATCCACTTCAATACATTATATATACATTTGAAGACTACACCGGGAAAAAGAAAGTAGTCACAGTTATCTGTTTTCTTACTTTTTTTTGGTCTTGATTAGTCGTTTGACTGGTTCCATTTTGTCCATCACAACAATTTTTGTCAAAAAGGGCAGCAAATACATCTATAACAGCTATGCAGGACAGAATGGCAGAGAGTCTATGTCATGACCTCAAAACAAAAAAGGGCTGTAGTCCAAAATTTTCTTTCTACCACCATTTTCTTCATCTTTAGGCTTCACTCCAGTTCCTTTTCTGATCTTTTATCACAACAACAAAATATTACTAGGCTGTCTGCAGGCTGTCTCACCTCCAACTTGAGTTGGGTATTATATCTGTCCTCCAGCTGCCTCTGAAAGCTAAGCAAACGTTCTTCTGCTCCAGCACGACCCGTGCGCATGAAATCCTCCCGCCGAGATGAGAACAGCTCATCAACATCAGTAAGCTTTTCATCTTAAAAACAAAACATGAAGCTCATTTGCAATGAACAATATAAATGATTATATTGTAAAGGGAAAAAAAAGTCATAATACTAAAAGAAATAACAAAGATGAAGTCTTTCAAGGAAAAAACAAAAACAAGCAAACATAATGCTTTCAGGTAACCCCTTCGTTACCTTATGACGTACCTAATACATCATGAAAATGCGTAATTTTTAGCTCTGTGCCCTACCATGTACGTCTCGGAAGTTGGCAAAATTTGCCGCTCTTGGTTGCCTATACGAGGTTACAGGTACATCACGCTAATAACCTGGCTCTAATTCTTCTGTACGGAGTTATAGCCACAAGCACTGCGTAGATTCGTATTATGGAAAAAAGACACGCACATCGGTACCAAATTTGCTTGTATTTCTGTACTACTAGGCTTGCAAGCAATCGATAAACGTAGATCTAGGCCTGCCGGCGGCTATGTGCTCTCGTAAAACACAAATATCGAAATGACTTTAAAAAGGCGAATAAATTCACATTTGACTTGAGGAAATGGGATATAAGAAAAGTGACATGATCAAAGACCCGGTGTCTGAAATATGTCACAAGAGCGCTAGATCTAGATCGCGTGTCCATTGACACTGAGATATTAGGTTGCTGTCCTGGGTAACGAGCTCAGCTGAAAATCAGTGCTGACAGTAGGAACGTACACCCCCTGGGAACGAAAGGGTTAATTAGAAGCTAAACTAATAAATACTTTGGTTGTAGAAGCAATAAAATTTCGGAAACTAGACAATTCTTCAGAAATATTTAGCAAAGACATACATATATTCACAGCAGTCAAAATATTTGTTAATAGAATTTTTTTCAAAAAGATTCCTAGTCTGTAGTCTATTTCTTTCACACTGCAAGTATCTGGGAAAAACAAATTCAATTTGTTTGAGCAAATTATTCAAGGAGGAATCTTGGGTATTTGATGAGGGGTGAAAATTTTGCACAACAACCTATTTTTAAGCTTAAAAGGCTTAAATACTTTTACCCATATCCATATTTCAGCATTTACACTTGCAGCTTGACCTATTGGCCAGAATGCAACTCCTCCCCCCCCCCACCCAAACCAATGCAAATAAAAATCCATTGGAAAACAACTTGACTGTCTCCACATGTAGTTTGCCAAGTCTTTACTAACCCAGAGATGTGATTGGTCCCACTTTGATGAGATCTGTCTGGCAGCCAACATTGCTAGAAGAGTTTGCATGGAGAGCTGACACTTCAGTCAACAGCTGCCACAGAAAACCTGCGGAAGAAAAATAAAGTAATTCAGATTACTTTTTTTCCCATCAAAGAACAAATGGCCGAAACCAGGAAGTCGATTTCTTCAACATTTTTACTCAACCTTCTACAAAGAGAAAAAACAAGGGGTATTTTACTGTAGTTCAACAAAAGAAAAAGGAAACGATAAAAGATTTTTGGTTCTGGCCAAGACACTTCTTGATTTACAGTAACATGCACATCAACCAACACATAATACAATAATCAATTTGAAAAGTAGCATGACATTGCTGGTCACTGCAATATACCAGTTTTACAACTGAGGTTAACATGCCTTACCCAAAGCAGATATTTGTGACCATAACTCCCACAGCAATTGCCCATTGACACATTCCTTGATATTGTGATTCTTATGCAATCAAGTTTACCATCCATTTGAATACTACACATACCTCCCGCCTGCCCCCTCCCCCAAAAATGACATATATCCTGAAACAAAGAGTGGATTATGTGGATTTTTAAATACTTTGAACAATCACACATTGGAATCAAATGAAATTTCAATCCAAATCATTTCATCTGTCACCAGCGTGTGAAATCAGTAGCAGAGAATCATACATCACATCTACACACAATTCTAAAATATACAACACTTCCTAAAAAAGAATACTTCAACTTTGTAAATAAGTTTGAAACTTACCTTTCTTACTGTCCTGTTGTGACTGGGCACTCTACGGAAAAAAGAAAAATAATAAATTGTAAGTACAATAATTTTATAGCAGTAACTAAGTACTGCAGCTGAAACTTACTGCACTTATTCAAATGGCTTCATTCATCTTATTAATCCAATAAATTTTCTATCGAATGCAACGTAGCACATTTCAATCTAATCTGACAGCAGAAAAGCAGAAAGAAGACAGCTATTAATATAATTTCAACATAATTCTTCTATTTTTTCAAGTGGTATTTTTAGAATACAGCATAACAGCACCTATGACAAGCACAAATACACATTACTCTTCAGATATATGTCTGACACTCAGTAATACTATTCATGTTACAGACTCGTTATAGTTATACATTTTTACATCACACAAGGAAACTTACCAGTCTCTGATAAAGTCGTGAATGGGGGCTTATGTTAAGTAGTTTGACCAGGTCTTGGGTTTCAAATTTCTGAAAACAAAAATAATGTTTAATGATTACGACCTCAGAAAAGTACCGGCTCACTGCTATAAAAAATAAAAACATTCTTTCAGTTTTTACAAGTATGTACATATTAAAATTGATTACATTAAAAACAAATTCATAACCTTTAACTCTGCGTTACATTTTGTACCCAAAAAATCCAGAAGCCCAAACCCATATATTCTCTACTGTTACATTCACTCTATATTAAAATCAAATTAATTGAGCATTTTTATATGAAAAATATATTATAATGTAAAGAAAAAGTCAATTCAAGCTGTCCTTTTCATCTCATTTTTAAAAGCATTTAATTTTTTAATTTTATATCTGCCTGTGCAGATTTGTAGAAGGATGTATTGTATGCATCTGTCTCAATATCTGAACAATGGTTTACCAGGTCTGATACCAATTTACAATGTATGTCATATCCGATCCATGTTTCAGCATTTACATCTGATACCGATGTTAAGTGGCAAGAAAGCTAGGGGTCATCTTCCAGAGATTATCATGATTATCAATATCATAGTTAATGCAGCCGAACCTGCTCTAATACCACCTAGACAGTCATCTGGACAAACTGCCAGTTTCCATTTTCTCATTCGCATATCTTTAACTCTATAATGGCACTGTGTAAGACAGCCACCTCTCTAAAGCAGCCTCTTCTCTCCTTGACAATAGTGGCCTTCTTAGACAATTTAGCCTATACTATATTATAATAATTATCATTTTTATAAGATCATTATTATTGTTATAATTCCTCTTATTACAATTATTATTATAAATAGTTACCATTATTATTATTACCCTCATCGCTAAAAAATATCAGAATCATAGGAAATCTCTTCTGGCAGCAGAATGCAGCAATCAAATGAGTTAAGAACTATCAGAATAAAATGAGTTTGAAATCCATCGAGGAGCAAGACAAGGTTGTATTCTCTCTCCTTATCTTTTTAACATCCATACAGAGTTCAATTTTAGAGAATCTCAAGATCTACAAGGAGTCAATATTGGGAGCCACAACATCAATAACCTGAGATACACAAATGATAAAGTCCTGCTAGTCAACATGAGTGAAAATTTTTCTCGTTAGCTGGAAAGCAAAAAAAAACAATGAGGGGTGTCAAATTTTTCACAAAAGATAAACCCTGCTTAATGAAATATACAACACTTTGGTCACTTAAAACGACACCAGACCATTGTGAAAGAGGTGCTTGAATTTGAAGGAAGGATGTGGGGCAGGAGAGCCAAGGGAAGACAAAGAGTAACATGGATGGACAACATTAAAACATGGACTGGCCTGGGCACAGCAGAATTTGCAGAGGCAGCTCGCCACCGTGAAGGATGGAGGGTCACCACACATCAACCTCTGAGTCTGAGATGACACCTCCAGCACAGCACATCACTAATGCAATCATATCCCTATCATTTGTTTTTATCATTATTAGTTAGTCACAAACAAACCTTATCTTGGTTAAGTCCACACTCAGGAAGGAAGACACTAAGGCTGTACTCATATTGGCATGCTCGTAAATGATTCGCAACGAGACTGTTGGATGCTCTGTGGAGAAGGGTGCCTCCATCCGGTACTTTCAGATCTTTCAAGGTCAAAGGGCCCCGCACACTTTGTTGGAGTTCAGTGACCAGGCTGTTTCGAAGTTGAGACTGAAAGCAAAGAAATTTTAAAGAAAGTTGTACCCATTATGAATGATTCTCGAGGCGCCGAACTTTGAGTCAGTTTTTAGAAGAATTCACATACTTTAAGATTTAAAGGAAGGTAGAATTCATCTTCCTATGAGCATGACAAATGAGTCTCTCTTTTCATTGGCTGCAAAATTTGGAACATTTGGGTAATATCTAAATGTTTTGCAGTCTCTCTGAAAGAGGAAGGTCTAATTACGAAGCATATCAGCAGGTTTTGGACGCATTACCCGCCGATCCTCTTGCTTTGATGAAAACTCGACTGTCACTGAAGACATCGGGAAAAAAAATTTTCAGCGAATACCCCTATTTCTCCTGAAAGTATGGATGTGCAATACATTGGGCTAAAAACTGCATTAGCATGTTCCTAGGGCTAGCCCTGGCTGCGGCAAGAACATCATGTTTTTGCACAGCCGCGGCAGGGCGTGTGGTATTGCTAGTAAAACTAAACGTAGAGCACTGTTTTTAACAGTGTGAAGTCTATTCACTTTCTTCAGGGACAAGTAGTTTTTCTGTTGGGGGACAAGACACCCCCCCCCCCCCATTTCCACATCCTCCTCCTGACCTCAAAGCTGTATTCATTAGACAAAAAAGTGTATGCTATAATAGTCACAATTATAAAGTAACCAAACTCTTTTGCAATATATATAATAACCTGGGTACCTCGTTCAATGAATAGACTCAAAGGAATCGATCTGTCAAGTCATTGTGGGATTAGTGCACACTGCTGGTGAACGGAAGCCTATCTTATTTACAATGGCGTCTTTGAAGAGGGACTTTCCCAAGATTAGATCTAAACGAAACAAACGAAAAACTGAAAATTATAAAGTACAGGTAGTGACTTCAGATTCTTAATATAACTGTGCACCCTTTAAATGATTCTGAACCACCGTTAATTTTTTCAAATTCGAAAGTTAAGTGGTTCGGAAGTATTAGGCGACCAAAGTGAGGAACTTTCACAAAAATATAATATACTAGCTGGGCCTCCTTTTGACGAAAGGAATGATCGGTGCATTAACATCAAATGAAAGTCATTGGCCTACTGTACATTTACACTCTACCGGAATGGAGCTATAAATCTTGAGAGAAAAGTGACACATGTGTTTCCAAGTTGCCAAATATAATAGACGTATAGAATCTAGATTGATTCTCTATTCCGCTTTCGTGGTTGTACACTCCAGAAATTCAAAGGTATGGAACCAGAGCGCACGGCTATTGAACGGAAACCTCACTTGTTTACAATGGCGTCTTAGAAGACAAACTTTCTCAAGATTAGATCTAAACGAAACTAATAAAAAACTGAAAATCTAACTACAGTGACTTCAGGCTCCTCAGTAAAACTGTGCACCCTTTAAATGATTCTGAGCCACCATTAATTTTGTCAAATTCGAAAGTCAAGTGGTTCGGAAGTTTTAGGCACCGAGTTGACAGACTTTCACAAACATAATATGTAGAGATATAAAACCTCATACAAGAAAGGATTCAAAAAAGTAAATCAGAATTTTATTTTAAAAACAGCACAAGATTTTCAGTGTTTTTTCTTAACATTGAGAGCAAATGAATCTAAAAATAAGGGAATGTATAATCCGGTTTTGGCCCTAAAGAAACAATGGACTGTGGGTTTTGGCTCCACGGACGATTACTGCTGGTTTTAACAGTGATTACTTTTCGACGTGTGTGCCGATATGGAGAGATATCAAACCTAATTGCAAAAAATCAAATTACGGTTAAATTCAAGGGGGTATGCATTTTGTATTGTAAAATAACAATGCATCTCTCGGATAGAACATCGATACCGAATATTTAAGTCAGTTACATCGATATCCAACAGTACTCGTGAGGCCAAAACCGGAGAATGCCAAAATAAGACAGTGAGAGTGAGTTATAATTTTGAACAATCCTCCACATTAGGCTACTGACCATCACATTCACATAAGATACATCTAGTATTATAGGGCCTAGTCGATTGGCTACTGTACTATAATTTACAAAATTAAAGGCTGTACTATAGAATACATCTTATGAAACTGCAGCGAGCACCTAGCACATCTCTGGAACTGGCCAAAATATAGATGACGTATTTCCGACATCTATATTTGTCGTCTTCCGGGGTTTCCCCCAAGACGCTTGGGTTTCCCTCGCCATTAAATTTACTGTTCACTAGATCTTGCCATGTTTGTTGTTTGTTTTTTGGGGGTTTTTTGTGTTATCTTTTATAAACAATCTCAGCAATTTTCGTTCCATAAATTAACCTTCTCCTAAAAGTTGTACACACACACACACAAACGCAAGCGCCCACACACACACACACACAAGCGTGTATACACACACACACGCACATACACAAGCGCACACAAACACACACACATATATGTACACACAGTCCAAGCAATCGGTGATGAAACCTAGTGGCGTAGCCCATCACGCGTTAAGCCGCAAAGCGGGCCCACCACGGTGAGATCTTGTAAATTGGCGAGGGACGCCCTGGAAGACTACAAAAATAGATGGTGGAAATACATCATCTATATTTGGGCCAATCACAGAGGTGTGCTAGGTGCTCAGAGCAGCTAGCTTCATGTCTATAAAATAGAGAGTATTAGGCTATTGTTGAGATTTCTCTATTCACAAAAGATATTAGATCTATAATTTAATACGCAGTGGCTAGGTTCACGGCGCCCTGAATGCAGTTTGCAGGCGCTGTTGAGGCTACGTTCAAGGCACTAAAGCTTCGTTTAGGGGGAGTGTCCACTGCCGGTTTTAGTCAGCCGGTTTTAGTTAGTGATGACAGTGATGCATTATATATTAAATATTAAGTTTTGGCCAGCTTCAAGTGTTTCATCCCATGAGATGAAGGAAAACGAAGCGCCCTTACAGAATTACGGTCCGGATATATGGGATAACGAAAATTGGAAACGGTACATGGGAAACAAGAGGTGAGAGATGGGAAACAGAAGGTGGGATTCAGAAGACGGGACTGGTCATAAAATATGTTACAATAATGACTGTATTGCACCGGGTCAGTCTGAGAACCGACGCAGACAGAAAATGACGGGAATCAATTATTCTCTTATACTAATAACAAACATCCTCTCTCTCTCTCCATCCTTTCTCTTTCCTTTTCTCTTTCTCTTCCCCCTCCCCCCTCTCTCTTTTTTCCTCTGTCTCTCCCTTCCTCTTTCTCCCCCTACCGCTTTCTCTCTCTCTCCCTTTTTCTCTTTCTGTCTCTTTCTCTCTCACACACACACACACACAAACACACGCACACACTGCCAGCAGACAAAATTGCATGCTTTCAACTCGAGAGCGCTGGAACATTTGTTTACACTTGTATATATTATTATCACCTGCCAAAATTAAATATACGTCACTGTCGTCACTGACTAAAACCGGCTTACTTAAACCGACAGTGGACACTCCGTCTACACGAAGCTTGAGTGAACGTAGCCTCAACAGCGCCTGGAAACTGCATTCATGGCGCCGTGAACGTTACCTGCCAACTACGTTCAGGGTGCCGTGAACGTAGCCACTGCGAATTTAATAACATTGACAAACTATTTGAATAGAGAAAAATTATATTCGGACTCAGAATTGAGTCCAGCATGACGTCCGTTCCGACTTCCAACCTTTGTTCCTAAATATTTCCGGCATGTATGAACTTTTTTTCAATTATAATGATAACAGTCGAGACGTGAGCTTTATTATCCTGTTACTAGATCTAGATCTATCAAAACTGGCCCTCCTTACATCATTAGTATGAACAGAACGATTAAGTTGAGCTGACCTTGCCGGGGGCAAAGTTAATTTATTTGTCGACAAATGAGATTGCACGTAGCGATCTCGCACTCTCAGCTTGCAGGGGGAAGAGGTGTTGGGAAGAGACCACAGCTGTCCGTTTTGTGCGATGTAATAAAACAAAGAATAATTACAGAAAATCTATAACGCACAACAAAATGAAATTTTATATGTGGAAAGACAAAAGGTGGTGGAAGTAATGATGATGCTACAGTAGAGGTGAAAAGACCCTGAATTGTCGGTTACCGTGTACTTACCGTGCCATAGGGTAGATCTAATGAGAGTGCAGTCCTTTGACTTTTGACACAATTACAGTAAGTTAAGTACACAGTCCTAGTGGGCAATTCTAGTTCTAATTCTAGTTTTACCTAAAATCCCCCGACGACATTAATATAATGTAACCTCCTTACACTCACATTATAACTCACTTAGAAGCTGAGTCCAAATAAATCAAACCTTTTTTTCCGACCCGAGTCCGAATAGATAAAACCCATTCGGACTCGAGTCCGAATAAATAAAAATTTGGTGATCTTGTAGTTCCGTTCGTTAAAGTCCATGATCCATTTGTTTTTACATCCAGAGAAGAAATCCAGAAGTCTTAATGACCAAATACTATTTGAAATAGGCTACACAAAGAAGAGTAGGAGGGAGGCAACCTAACTGCAAAACATCAAATTAGGATAAAATTCAGGTGGCATGCCCCCCCTGAACCCCCCCACCTCCATATTTTTATTGGGTCAGGGGGGCAAGCCCCTGAAACCCCCCTCCTCTTGACTTTAACGAACGAAACTACAAAATCGCCAAAAATTACAGATATTATAATATAATCTCTTTGGCGACTTTGGACTCGAGTTCTAAGTTCTACTACTGTAGCCGTGTACAATACACCGTAAATACAATTAATTACGATGCTCACTGAAAACTGCTGTGGCAGACTTCCAGATCTAGATCTAGATCCTAGATCTAGATCTAGATTCTAGATCTAGATCTATATAACCTCTATGCATTTATATGTTTACATCCATACCTTTATGGAATCAACTAGCCCGCGATTTCTAAGACTGTGGTACAGTCGGTTTCTCAGTTCCTCTGCTGTGAGATATTCCGGATTTTGGTTGGCCATAGCGATATCAATTCATAGAAAATGGAAAGCTTTATCTGATATTTTCAATAATGCATGAAATCAGGAAACTTTGAAGAACTGTTTAATACATAGAACACATCCTCGACCCAACAATAAGGCAAGTCGAGTCAAGCGTCCATGACAATAAGTTTACAAATTGCGGAACGAAAATGTTACAGCACAAACTAAAAACATGTTCCTATATTCAGAGTTATTTCCCGTGTTCTAAACTCCCACTTGTTGGCCGTCTGTAAGTGAAGTGTCTCTCTCTCTCTCTCTCTCTCTCTCTCTCCCCCCGCCCAAACACACACGCGCGCTCACTCACACAAACGCGCGCGCTCACTTTTAAAAACAATCAAGAAACGACAAATGCAGTTTTGGGGATCTCTGAATAGACATACGGGTTTTGAACATCTAGCTCTCACTGGCAAAACTGAAGGCAAACGAGGCAGGGGTATGCCCTGAGCAACCTACCTAGGGAACCTAACCAAATGCGGGTAACAGGAAAGATCAAGGAAATGTAGCTTTTTTAAGAGCATGCGAGCAGAGGACTCAATGGAGAACCATGGTCGCCGATGTCTGTCGCGGATCTTGCACTGGATGATGATCCTTCAATAAAGTAAACAGATGATAAGCCGAATTGACAACTAGAGGCTTTCTCTTTGGGCTCAGTGAGTCAGTACACAATTTGTAAAATAGCCGGCAATTAAGGTCGAACGCGGTAGTATTCGCGCAAAGTTGTTCATCGCGACTGGAGGCTGTGACAACAAAGTTGCGAGCCACCGGTAAAACAGAGACGAAGGAAAGAGAATCTGGAGTGTATTCCACTTATCAGTGAACCCCAAAGATCTTTTTTGGGGGGCGCCTTCAAATAAGCACATGTTGCTTTTTAAATGTCAACAATAAATATTAAGAATTAAGATTTACTAGAAACTGGCTGAAAATTAATGGCAGCAATAAATCTCCTATCCACTGTCCGGCGGATAAAAAGTGACTGGCTCGACCGGTCTCCCAGTTAACGAACCACCCATGGTTATCACAATGCGGAGAGAGTTAGATTTCAAAATGATTTATTAATTTGAAAAGCCTTTGGCCCATACATCCACACATTTACTCGGAATTACATTACAGCACATCGAATACTTAACATAAATTGGGCACGCACGCACGCACACACACACGAACGTTCACACACACACACACACACACACACACACACACACACACACACACACATACACATACACACACAAACACACAGAGAGAGAGAGAGAGAGAGAGAGAGAGAGAGAGAGAGAGAGAGAGAGAGAGAGAGAGAGAGAGAGAGAGAGAGAGAGAGTGAGAGTATGTCCCATTGAAAAACTCACAATAAAAAAAAAACAGTGGATAGGAGATTTATTGCTGCCATTAATTTTCAGCCAGTTTCTAGTAAAAAAAGACAAAAAACAAAATAAACAATTAATTAATTAGATCTATGCCTAAATTTTTAAAAACAAAAACTGGTTCCGCACTCTAAAAGAATGGGGCAACTAATGACAGTCAAATCTAGTCCGAAAGCCCGTGTCAAGATCTCGCCAATAATTAGTTTCAGAGAGACAGCCAACTCTCTCTCTCTCTCTCTCTCTCTCTCTCTCTCTCTCTCTCTCTCTCTCTCTCTCTCTCTCTCTCTCTCTCTTCCTCCTCCTCCTTTCTCTTTCAGCTGCAGTTGAAATGGTTTAACTTTTTATGAATTTATTTTAATTTAATGTTTATTTTATTGCCCTCGCAACTGCATAACGTCATATGAAAGCGTGGGACACATTAAACATTTTTAGTTTAGAAGGAATCAATTGGGAAAAATGCCCGGGTGATGGCCAAGCATACTCTTATCGAATTTGGACCATCAATTGGATTTGTGTTAGTTCTTAGGCAAACTTCCAGAAGATCAGGGCTGTGGCTGAATAACAGCAGTTTAAGGAACCAACTTAAGGAGAAACAGTAGAAACGTGCAGAAAAAGTCAGGAGCTCAGAGGAGGGGGCAAAGGGGTGAGGGATGGGGGGCAGAACATTGATACGAATGCAAATGAAAGAACATGGCTAGAGAGCAGGAAAAGGAGGTGAAAAGAGAACATTTTAGAGAAGAAAACTCTCCGTCGCTGTCAGGTTTCAAACCCAGGACATAATATTAAGAGCATCTCGATTCAAAATGCGATCCCTTTGAGATCGGTTTATCAAAGGGAACTCATACTTTAAAATAAAATACATGTTTGTAGATCGATTTACCTATGGGAACTCATACTTTTAAAAACATACATGTACATGTGTAGTTATATTAACTACCCCCCACCCCCCTCTCACCTCTCCCCCTCCCCCCAGCATGGAAAGCTACTTTGTCCATGTTCACGCAATGATCATCCGACAGCGTAATCTTGGTTTCCTTTGGTTAATAAAGCTTTTTTTCACACCCCCTTATAATTATAAAAATGTGTTAAGGTCAACAGCAGGAAAGAATTAAAAAAAAGAAAGTTTTAGCCAACATTGTATATTATTCAACACGGTCTGAAAAAACAAAACAAGAACAACAGCTTTGTTTTGTGAACTGAGCTCCTACGGTGTACCATAGTTTTTGTGATCCTGTTTTCGAGTTCCGTCTCCGTCGAGTTCCGCAAGTTCTTGTAGAAGCTCACGAGTTTGTTTACAAGTTTGGATATCAATATATAAGAATTTGTGAAGAACCAGAAAGATAATTTCCTAGTGATTTTAAATAATCAAGCTTTATTATGTCTCCGTGATAAGCCTAAAGGTACTCTCTTCAAGCTGAGTGCATTTTTTCCTTCAAGAAAATGCAACAAGTTTTGACGAACGCTTACTGTCGGAACAGAGCTGTAATTTCGTCACCCAGTTAAGTGAAAAACTTTGCCCCATTTTCGACCCGGATGAAACGAGAATCGACATAAACTAACAAGGCAGCCTGCTGGTCTAGGCTTTCTCGTAGGCTAGTTCTTCTCCTTCGTTCCCTTGGACTTGGCAAAGCGTGCTCGGTTACACCCGGACCGGAAAGGGAAAAGATTCGGGGTCAAACTTGTCACGATCAACATTTGTGAGAAATCTGTTGATTTGTTGTAGTTGTGTAGGTCAAATTAGATCAAAGTAACAATAGTCAAACATGTCTGGAGAGCAAAGAATCATACGAGTGGGAACTCGAAAAAGTCAGGTAAGTCGACACTGGAATATAAGATAAAAAGTTAAAATCTAAGGTTTAGTAGAATGTTGCGTAAATTATAATGATAATGCTACATTTTGCCCTTTGCTTCTACTTATTGCTTTGCCTTTCCACTTTCCTCAAACTCAAACGACTGGATTTTTAACTTGAGATTCTAGATCTAGAATCTAGTTCTACTAGATCTAGATCTAGATCTAGATCTAGATCTAGATCTACTTTCTCATTACATCTGTTCTACTTTGAACTGTTAGGAAGGCTTGACTTACTAGATCTAGATCTAGATTAGATCTAGAGTCTAGATCTAGGCCTAATATTTTTAGTTTTTATTTTGAATTTGAACTCGAGTCAGAAAGTGGGCGTAGGCCAGGAGAGGAGTCGGTGAATGAATGGCCACAAGACATCCCTTTTCCAGTCCTTACTACTTGTGAAGTTTGGGGTGGAGATATTCTATTTCTCATTAGTAGAGACAGAGAGATGGGTCGGGCTTGCAAAATCGGTGCTTTTTCGTTAGTTCCCACCCCCCTTATTTGAGCCTGACCTAGATCTACATCTAGATCTATACGTTTGATTCGCGGCGAGCTATGATCATATCAAACCTAACAACTGCAAAACATTAAATTAAACCCCCCACCTTATTTTTATTAGCCCCCCCTACTCTTGGGGCCAAATCCCAGTAATAACAATTGCGGGGTGGGGACTACCGAAAAAGCGCTGCAAAATCAGCGTCTGTGAGTAACGGACTAGACTAGGGCCTACTCGCTGGCACTACCCGCAAACGAGCAAATGGGTAACGAACCGTCCGCTTGTGAATGAGTAGTTCGCTACTCGCTACACATCGGACAGAGACAACAGTTCGTTTAGCGAGCGGACGGGACGGGCGGATGGAGAGACTCCATGCATTCGAGTGGGCGGGCAGACGGACAGACGGGGAGCAACTCGTTCCATTCCATACTACTTACACCCCCACCCCTCCCCCCCCAAAAAAAATCACCCTCCTGCCCCACATTGTTGTAGCTAGGTGTTCATAGCGGAAATTTCTCTAACCCCCCCCTCCTCCAGTCCTTTGCGATAATTGAAACGTGTGACCCACTCAACAAGGTGAAAGGTTACATACATAGCACTACGTCACCAGCCTCTCTCACTCCCTGCGGCACCGCTAGTGGTTTGAAACATCAGGTCTAATTAACAAACAATAGACGATGGGCCTAACCTCGCGTCGAGTATCACGTCTGCTAGAGTTCGTCCGTTCGCCCGCCCGCGCATGAATAAAATTGTGGAGCGGACCCCAAAAAACGAACTGGCTTGAGGTCCGCAGTCCGCTCACTGAGAGAGTCAAATTGTGGAGCGAACCCAAAAAACGAACTGTTTTGAGGTTTGCAGTCCGCTCGCATGGCCGTCCGTTACCTGTTCGCTCTGAGTCCGCGAGTAACGAACCCGTCCGTCTCCTCGCCCCAACTCTACTCATTAGGGCCTAGACTGCTTGTAGGCTTGTACGTTGTAGGAGTATAGTTTGACTATGACTATGATGAATAGGATCTCTCTATGGCATGGGAATGGGAGTATTCGTAGTCAAATTCAAATGTCACTTGCAGCCAGGCCCCACTTTACTTTGTAATTGTAAACTGGTAGCCTGTAGTTGTACCCTTTAGTAAGACTTCGGCTAATAACATGCCTACTGTTGCAGGAGGAATTTATAGCAAGGTAGTGTCAATTGCCCCTGAGTGACGCGATGACAGTTGACGCCAGAACCAATGGCGCTTTTTCGGTAGTTCCCACCCCGCAATTGTTATTCGCAGGTTTTGGCTCCAAGAGTAGGGGTTTTACCATAATTTGATATTTTGCAGTTGTTAGGTGTGATTTCTTAGCTCGCCGCACATCAAACGTGTATCTAGATCTAGGTCTAGATGTTAGATCTAGGCTCAAATAAGGGGTGTGGGAACTACAGAAAAAGCACCGAACCAATTGCCACCGAGTAAGTGTTTGTGAGTAGATCTAGCCTGTATGTGCTCGGTGTTCTGGGTTCGTGAACTTCCAACGCACTCCTCTCTCTTTGCCCCTTTGTGTGTGGCGGTGGGGGTCTTTCTCTCTCTCTCTCTCTCTCTCTCTCCCTGACCCCTGCCCCCGGATTTATGTTCCATCATGTAGCGTATTTCTGCTTGAGTTTGTGTGCATTTGTGGCCTTCTTCTAGAATCGCCTGTGTTGGTTCTACACTGAAGGGTAGGTTAGCCTACATCTCATTCAAAACACGCCAAGTTGAAGTTGGTAGCTCTAGATGTTTGTAAAATGAATTAATTAGAAAACAAACTGACCCACTTAGACGTGAGGAGCTTGAAAGGATAGCCTGGAAACAAGATTTTCATTTTACTTTAAAAGTAAACAAAATCTTTCAAATGAGCTTGAATTTGCAAAATGATATTCCCTGTTAAAATTAAGTTTATAGATAGTTTTGAATACCATTGTGCAGGTTAAAAGAAGAATTTGAATTTCAAAATATTCGGAAATTGACCTATACTATTTTCCTTTCGAACCCCAGAATGTGTGTAACTACCCGTTTTATATTCTTATCAACTTCTGAGAGCGAGTCTAATTTATCCATGTGTTCGTAACACATTATGAATAGAAAGCTAAAGACAGAGCGTTGTTTTCAGACTTGACACCGCGTCACTCGGTGGCAATGGACACTACCGCGTCCATAAAGTCAAGGCTTCGTAAAGTCAATTGTCACTGCTTCACTCGGTGGCAATTGACACCAGCATCAATAAAGTCGATTGCCACCGCATCACTCGGTGGCTATTATTAACGCTACCATTATGTAATGAGCGACCTCTGTGAAAGAGAATAAAAGACTGGTTTCGGTTAAAAGGCTATGGTTTGGGTTTGGGTTAGCTTTATTGTTTGTTTGGGTGGTCGCTCGGTATAGTATAGTATGTATTGGAAGTTCTTCCCTGTTGCAATTGAAAAAAGTTATGTCAAATGCCTGTTTGATATTATAATACTGTAACATTTAATTTGATGAATGGCTTGGGTCAGTGCACACAACTGTCGAGCATATATGACATGTCTTACACACCACACACAGGCACATAAACAATGACATATATCTAGAATCATAGCGAAAAATGCACCTAGTGAACAGATTTTCAGGTCCAAAATTTTTCTTAAAGTTTTGCTATCAAAATACACAATAAGTAAACAATTTATTCATAGCAAAAAAGGTTTTGAGTTGGTGTCTACGAGGGTAAATCTAATTTTAAACTGGGTCGCAGATTTTGGTTACTAGATCTACACCCTGTACTATGAAATAACCACTATTCATGAGAAAGAGAGTTCTCGAGAGAGTAAGAAGAAGTGTTCAGCAGTAGATCTATCTAGCCTTCAAAACTCAGTCACGTATGGGGTAATCTATCGTCAAGTCAAGACATGTATCAGATACTTTTGCCAAGTGTATGATAAATGTCAGTGTGCAGACCTGCCACTCATCCCAATTTAATCGGGATATCCCGATTTTTTGCTGAAAATCTCAAGTATCCCGATTTTCCGGAATTTTGATCATGTCACATGTGTATCCAGATTTTTTTGTTCCGTCTGTTGCGCCGGATTTTTCAAAAAATTTACTCTGCCTTCTTCTCTGTCGTGGGAAGCACTTCTATTAAATTTCTTATCAGCAGGAACTCGGAGCACTATATTTTCCTAAATATCTATTCCAGATTTAGTAGTTGAATCACCCCAAGTTGTGTTGGAACTTTGCTCGCATATGTTATTTCAACTATAATGGTAACTTAGTATCTTTTTGGCATTCCGACCTAAGACATTCTCAAGGTATTCTTTATAGTTTTTGTTTCCACTCAGAATTCTTCAATGATTGCCTACTGTTTCAGTTGTGAGATACAAATGTTTAAGATTTATAGCTCTGCTGTTACTTTCAAAGAAAAGTTTGTCAGAGTTCTGGTTAGTTGGGCCAGACATCATGACCCAAAAGATAGTTTCAATGGCGCATTGGCATCACATGGCATGACTTAGGCGTGTGAGTTGTGCGTGTGTCGGGGATTGTCTCTTGACAGGGTCAGTTAAAGTTCATGCACGCTGGTTGTAGTAGAAGTGACTTTTGGGACTTATTGGGGGGTGGCGCACTAGGAACTCTTGACGTGATACTTCAGGATTTTAAACAATAATGATAACACATGCACGCACGCACACACGCACATCTACTGTCACCCCAGGAAAATTTTTTGGTCAGTTAGGCAGTCACCTTAGTGATTTGTCGTTGATCCGGTTGTTTTTCCCCTGAGATCCTGATTTTGAGATTTCATAGAGTGGCAGGTCTGAGTGTGCTACCTCTTCAACAGAGGTTACACACTATGAAACAGCTTTCTGCAAAGTAAGGTCAAGTTGAATTTGTTCTTGAGAGAGGGGACCACAGCAGAACAAAGGGTGTGGAAAGTAGGCTTCTCGTCTAGGAAAAAGGACTGATCCTAGCTGATGTAGATCAGATTTGTAAAAACCCAATGTTAACTCTAATCTGCAAATAAATGATGATGTACTCAACACAAATGATGATGTTGCATAATTTTGACTTGTTTGTCAAACTGTTTGTCTTTCTTGAAATAGCCTGAAATAAGTAATGTGGCTAAATATGCAGGCCTATGTTTTAATTATAAGAAAATATTTCCCCATTCTATATGATTTCACTGTGCCTGTGCTAGATTGATATCAAATTTACCTCTACTTTGTTTCATCATAAAATTTGACTGGGCCTAAAATACATTTCAAACAAAAGATCTGACCTTGCAGTGCTTGGTAACCATGTTATTTGGTTGTTTTCATCAAAAGGTGACCGAGAAAATCAAACATGTTTTGTTTTGGAGGATTCAATCTAAAGATGCGAAATGGTAGATTTTGCCATTCATTGAAGGAAAAATACCCCCCCAGGTCATCTTGAAATGTATCAAACCATATCAAATTGAGATTTGACCAAACTTTCTTTAAAAGT